GGAGGAAGACAAGTGTACTTATACACCCTAACAGCGTATATAAGGCGACAAAAGGAGCATACGGAAAGGTCCAAGGTCGGAAGAAGGTTGGATCGATCAGATAATGTCCTTGAGTAGCTAGAATGTCGGTCGGATTTCTGACTCATCTGACTGGTTGGATAAACTTCCAGGCCTGTCGGGAGCTATAGCGCGACATCAGCACGCGCACGGCTCCTCCTAAGAACTTTCATACGAAGATCGGTTTATGTCATCAGTTGGCAACCTTCCAAACCAAGACTTAGCGACTTGGGATAACTGTAAGCGTGTTGACTGCCTTCTAATGGAATCCCTTAACTTTCACGAAGAGTGCGCCTGTATCTGTTCCGCTCTCTGTGTATCAGAGGCCAGCCCGAGCCCTTCAGTCGACTGGTGATAAGATGATGTGAGATGTCATTTTAACGAGCGGTGCAGCAAGCATGCCGGAAGACGAGTATAGACTCACGCAAATCCGGCACAGTGCAGTTAACCCATGCCTTTCAAATGATTTTATGCAGTTCCTCATTTTTGTGAAATAATTTTCGCACCTACTCAAGACCTGCGTTAAGTAGAATGACGACTTATTTGCCTTAAACGCTTGACAATATTGAAAGAACACGTATGTTTGCCTAGACACCCTGTGAACTATAATAGGAATTATGGTGGAAGTGGGAAACCTCTGGGTGTTTTCAAGGAGATTGTCAGCAACGAAGCAGCGGGGGCATTCAACATACACCGTAGACAGCCTTCAGAAGCACATAAGCTGATGGTCGCCAAAGAAGAAGGAAGGTGACAAGACGGTAACCAACGTGAACATATTAAGCAACACAAAAGTACAACACGAGTAGCGTTACGGACGCAAATGAGTTAGGTGACAGTAAGACAAATAGCAGAATTATAGGGTGGGGGGGGGTGCTCACTTGTTCCTCTAAGGCCTCTTTGTGATTAGTGTACACATGACAGTCACCAATTGTGTGGACAAAATCGCCCGGCTTCAGTCCTGTAATATGAGCTATCATCAACATCAGTAGGGCATAGCTTGCAATGTTGAAGGGCACACCGAGACCCTGGGGAAGAAAGAATGCAAAACTAAGTACCAACCAGAAGAGAAGTGCAGCTGAGTTACTTTTCTCTGTTGGACCCCAGCTACCACAAAACCACGAATCATCAGCCCATCAAGCCCCAAACTTGATTTTTCGTTTGATTTTATCGAGACCTTCGGGTTCGGCGTGGGTTCAAAATGCTAAGGTACGAGAACACGCGGCCTCCGGTGAGACTAACCTCACACCCGGAAGTGGGACGTCGACTATGCACGGAGGGGACATATCATCTAAAAGTCTCCGGTCACTGGCATTTTTAACCCTCCATTCTGCGAGTGTCTAGCAGATCGGCCAGGAGCAGGACCCCTCGACCGCACTCTCCTTACTCGCCGACTGAGATGATGTGCCCGTGTACGGCGACGACCAGGAGGCAACACCTTCCGGGGTGTCATCGCGCCTGAATCCGACCCTGACTGGTGGCGGTGTTTAAAAGATGGATGAAAATGCAAAAAAGGTTGACCTTCAACTTTGCGTTGCTTGCCTGTCCGGAGATTCAATTTCGCTAGAGAGTATCCCTTCGAGCAATTACGATGGCGGATAATCATTCCTGATTCGCTTAACCTATAACATGCGACCTGCTGACTTAGCCCTGGCGAAGGTTACCACAAGTCCAAATAAGTACTATTCGGCTATAACTGGATAGCAGAGGGTACGAGAACGGTGCAAACCACCAGTTGGAGAATCCCAGCAGGTTAAGTTAAAGGCTCAATACCTGGCCTCTGCATAGTAAAAGCGCGCAAAAAAAGAAAACCTACCATGTCTCCCGATCTCTGATAGAGCATGCAGGAGAGCTCCCCGTTGGCAACGTAGAACTGAACAAGACAATGGCACGGCGGGAGAACCATCTTGTGGAGATCTAAAAACAAACAGAAAGGGGAGATCGGCTGTTGATTAGGTTAGGGAACGCATATTAACTTTTATGTCAGAAAACCTGAGGCCGTCAACGTCTTTTATGATTGGAGTCCTGCAAAACGACCGGCTTCTAGTGTGTCTCACAAATCACACAGCAACTGCTTTATCCCACCTACCCATTGACCACATGACACTGTATTTTCATTTTCAGATGTGTATCGGTTGGTCTTCAAGTTAATATTTTCCCATCGGTAGTCACGAGTAGCTAATAGCATAACTTTAAATTCTCGCTTATTTGTCATATAAAAAAGGAAACCGGTCAGACGATCAGAAGGAGCAGGGTTTAGGAGCAAGAGTTGCTGAAGCGAATCAGTTTGCATGTAAACCCACGCCGATTAGTATCAGTATACGTGACGCAGTGTGAACTATTTTAATAAATAAACTAATTATAGTGAGCCGTGCGGTGTTGTCAGAAGTAGCTGCCCTTAACGATGGATCTACACTGTGGCAAACACGTCAGTATTATGTGACTGTCTCACAGTGGTCATCCCACAGGCGGCTATAGTCCAATCGAATAGTTGGTCCAATGATGTCGAAAACGTTGATCTGCCTGCAAAGATTCCTATGCACGGACGTGGAGGATATAACCTAAGGCAATCAGACCAATTCAGAACTGACCTCTCGCATTCCATGCCACGATCAGAAGGCGGCGGTCCCACGGCTTCTCCTTAATACGCTTGATAACCTCAGCGAGTTGATCCACACCCTGGCCCGTGTAGTCATGCTTGCAGTCGACGTACTCGGCGCCGGCGTGTCTCCACTGGAACCCATAGACCGGACCCAAGTCACCTAGATCAAGAATAGGCGTGGCAAATAAGAGCTGTGGTCAATAGTAAGAAAGGGTGGGGCAACGTCTATAAACAAAAAAACCTGCTGAAGCGCTTTGAGTAGGTCGGGGGGTTCGACCGTTACATGCGATCAGGTTCACCGCTGGCGCGCCAGGTGGGCGCAGTGATGACTTGTGTGTAAATTTGTTTATTATGCTGCAGACTTGTGGTGTATCCATCTCAAACCCCACCCACTGTGTTCTGATGAAAAGACAACACCAACAAGACCGGAGATGAATGTGGACAAAATTGCAGATAAGGCTAACCAGTCCACTTACGTGTGGTATACACGACCAAGTCCCCAACTTCAGGCTTCAATGAGGGGACTCGGGGTGTCTTAAAGGCAGCATGAGAACGTGGCCAATTCAATCTTACTCTTGCTGCAGAGACATGTTACAATTTCCGCGCTAAATCGAGTAAACACCACCTCATCGGACACAGTCTGTCCAAGCACCTAAAAAAGGATTCGGACCACCAGTATATGGATCTCAATCCTATAGAATATGCCTGAGGCTCAAGCTCCATCGAAACACACCATACTGCGCCGCACTTTCCAACATCCTGTTTGACACGGAGACCAACTACTTTGGCTAGTAGTACAATTAGCATCAGCCAGGTATATACTTCCTGCTGATTACGCGATCTCCCCACACTCTTCTTAGAGCGGCATCCTGGGACTACTCACGCTCATCTCCTGCATTTATATTGGTTGGAAAAATGTGCCTTTAGATTTTTTTTTCTAAAGTTACAGATGCCTGGGAACAGGCGATAACTGAATTTTAAACAGCATAAGAGTAGAAGATTAGCGAAATGAAATAAGTAAGATACTTGTTAGGCTCCATTTTTGTTAGTATTTGTATCAAGTACAAGCAGATATAGTTAAATTATACAGCGGCAGAAATTCAACGGAGCACCTGTTGCGGTGCTTGTTGTAGCACGTGTCTGTGAGCGGGACTTAGACTGGCAAAAGCTGTCAACCTGTGAGTTCGACTACCGTTTTTTCCGGTCACAAGAACTAGAATTAGAGGGCTGGCTAGATGTCCCAAGGCGACATGAAAGATGGGCACAGGGCCAGACATTGAGTCAACTGTGAAAATGGGAATACGATCGCAGAGTCATTAGATTCCGCTTTGGGATCCGCAGAGAAGCCGCGTATCATAAATAATGAAATAACAGCAGCAAGTGGTTTTTCACGGAGCAACTACCACGTGCGCTCTTGGCTCTGGGAAAGGGACAGCTGGCAGTTCACGCGCTATGTAGGAAGCAAATCGACATGACGCGAACAGAAACAGGTAGTCCGGACACGAGATCCGTGGACGCAGTCCGCAGCTTGGGAGGTGACCAAGAACTTGACTCTGGGGCCACACAAACAATAGTACTAGCCACTGAGAAGACATGACGGGAAGTCCTGGGGCTCAAGCAGCAACTGCGCAAGTAGACACATTGAGTTCCACCCTTCACCGCGCGTGATACGCGCACACTCATGCGTCGTGGCCCCGTTTCCAACCAATAGAGCAAGCGGCGGAGACTTGATTGGAAACCGACAACAAACTGCATTTATTATGATTAGTTCGGCGCCTTTGATGGGCTCCTGCACCTGCCTCAATACCAATACGAAAACGAGAGACCGCTTCGGTGATTAAACGATGAAAATTAAAAATCTGTTTAAGCATAAGAAAGACGAGGACGTCGAGTATCGAGAGAGAGAAAGGAGAGATAAAAGCACACAGTAGAAATCAAAAAAGACATTATTGCATAGTCAGCACCTTCTTCCCGATCAGTAAATCCTAACTGGTCCAGGAATGCACGAGATCCATTGGCATCCCAGAAGAAGACTTTTTTCGCAGCAAGTTCTTTTGAGTCCGTTGAGCCTCGGATAAACCAGAGCAATTCCTCAAGAATGCCACGGAAGAACGTCTGAAAATGACAAAATAAAGCAAAGATAAACTGATTCCACAAGCACGACAAGAGGGGACTACGCTATCCCGTACAGCTAAAGGCGGACTCAAATAAGGCGGTTTTGATGACCCAATGAGCCCATTCGAAGATGCCTTTAGCACTGATATAACCATATACAACCACGAAGTTGGTGATAGATCCCACGGGTACGCCAGTAAGGGCCTACAAATTCACACGAAAAAAGAAGCGCTTCCACAATGAAAAGAAGGGCCTTTTGGTGTTGGTGACAGGACATTGCACCTCAACAATCTTGCATATTTCTGTCTATGGGAACTCCAAAGTAACTGATCATAATAACGACTACAGAGTCAGAAATACTGGCGACCTGACACACAAACACAAAATTCATCAAGCATTATTGTGAGATAGATCCTGCAGACGCACCTAAAGCGATGAAGCCGGGTTGAAGGCAGGCAATATGCGGACGCGAGGGAAATATCAGCACGGATAAAAGGGTGGCAGCGAACTAGGGTGATCATTGTGCTAAAAAGGTGGACAGCGCCCCCTGCCTTCTCCGGACGCAAAACACTGCCCACAGCCGATAAACTACGGGAGAACACAACTGTTTGGACTAGCCTTGACCAACAGCCAGCGCGGTAAAAGCCCATTAAATACTACGGAATGCGCCAGTGTGGTATCCTCAAAGTTTAAATCTTTGGGAAAGTCAGAGATATAAACTTTCAAGTCCCTAAATCCCCCTCGTTTACGCCCGGGAAGCGCCTATTATCATCTATTGGTGACACTCAGTTGCTAATACTTTCGACCAGATATTAGTTTCCGCTCTGTTTCAAGCCGAGGTCACGGACTACTTCCGCAACGGGGTGTAGTAAAGCTATCCACTTTCGATTAATTTGCCTAGCATCTATCTTAATCTCTCCCCATGACCACCCTATCCCAATGGAGAGATAAGGCCAAGACGGCGGATACTACAAAAGCTCCCCCTATATGTGCACATATGGGCTACCCCCTTCATACGCACACAAGTTGTACTAAAAAGGCACAATTTTTTTACAAAAGTCGCAATAGGAGAGCACCACTGCAGTTTAACTCCCAGGCAGTCGATGGTAGGACGGCGGCCATTCAATGCAACTTTTGATATGTCAGAGTTAATTTACTCATGAAAATAAGCAGTGCATTGGTTTCATTTTCACTATCCTCTTTTGTCATGTAAAAATGACAAGGCCGAATCAAGTTGACTGAATATGAGATCAAACAGAGGGCAAAGTGGGACAAGGTGTTTGTTTAACGCATCCTACACACAGTGCCGACCGTTTTGACCAGCTTAAAGTATCATCTACATTTCCAGCGAGAATAACTAACACTTCCCATTTGTCGGAGAAAATCACATACCTGCTTAGTTGTGAGCAGTGGAAAGTCGCCGGAGCGAAGATCAAAGCGCATTTGAGGCCCGAAGATGGACCAAGTGCCAGTACCAGTTCTGTCATCCCGCAGAACGCCCTCCTTCAACACGCGACGCACAAGATTCAGGTAGCCGGCTTCACCGTAAATAGTATCAAGTGGGTATGGCGGAGATCCAGATACATCCTCTGGCTTATCGCCATTACTATAGCCAAAGAAGACGATTCGAGTAACGGTTAGAAGGGCAAATCGAATAAAACGTGATTAGTTATAGGGAGCCATGTGCACACATTTAAACGTTTGTACTGTCCATGAGGATAGAAGCTAGTGGACATCGAGCAAGTAAAAGATGTTAAAGGGCGTCGAAATTTATTATATCAGCAAGTTGTGTTAAATACGAGATCCTTGAAAGTTTTATTTGAGAGTGTTTGAGGACTACGTCGCGAAAGGATGACTAGAATAAAACAACCGATGAGCAACTTCATTAAATGATTATTTGAAGGCGAACTCCACAGCTTTCAAATATTCCTGACGGCAGCCGACAGGACGGGGCAGCGTCAACCAACTAGCAGGACATTTACATGGATTTATCCTGATAGCTGACTGAGTCGGGTTTACAACTCGAATTCCCTAATGGCTGGTTGATGATTGTGACTATGATGGTGAATAAGGCAGTCATTCTCGTCGCTTTAATGGCAATACTTCTTGGTTGATAAGGAGGGGGTTTCGCTACAACTAATATTTTAAGTTGAATTATGCACTTGGCTGAAGGGAATTATCGCGATCAGATATCGATACTTACCATAGAATTGAAGGAATTTCAAAAAAATCTGCAATTTTTAACTTGTCAAAAGTTCAGTTATTCGGATGAAATTCTGCCATCAGTAAGTCGTAAGTGACGGTTTTCTGGTAGTGCACTCTGATTAACACTGGGTTTATAAGGATGAAAAAATTATACTAAAATAAAAATATATAACTAGATAAACGAACTCTCGTCAACAGAAATTGTTCTGTATCGTATAAATTAAAACTTCCCAGCACACAACTGAAAATAACACTCTTCCTAGGGTCATTCATATTTGAATGTCTTTTGGTCACAGTATTTGGTATTTTTGAGCAAGGTATGATAAAAATGTTAACCCATAATGCAAATATTGTCTTCTTACACTAGTTACAGAAACGGGAAATACTACAATGAAAATCCACTAAATAGGTTCGTCATTCTGTCGACTTACGCGTGAGTAAACGGTAAGAAGACACGTATAAGGAAATGGAAAGTGAATAGAACAGGAAATTCCGCAAATATTCCCATTTTACGATTGAAAATTCATGTTGGCAAACATATGTTTTCGGCAATACATCATCAGGCCAGTACAATGCAGGGACAAAATGGTCAGTTATAGGTGGTGTAGTTATTAAATGGTTCTCGGGGTATGGAGAGGGGGTGAGGGGTTAATTAGTCATCGTGGTGTCCCCTCGTCTGACGCCTGCGGGCTCTAGCCTGTTGGTGGCGATGGGTCCGGCAAGCAGGGAGGAGGGGAGAGGAAGGGGTGCTCTCAGTGTCTGTGTGTGTAGTTGGTGACGGCGACTGTTCTCGCGGCAGGATATTCACTGGGATAATTAGCCAGGGTAAGCAGATTGCGGCTACCAGCGTCTTTTGACAGCAGAGAGCGGATTTTGCTAAACGGATTGCCATTGCTTCGGCTGTGGTGAGCACCCGTTTGTGCAGGCCTTCAGAATAGTGTGTCGGAGCCTGGGATATGACTTGAAAGGCCTCTCTCGCGTCAACTTGGTGGTTTTTATCGACCAAGTGTGTGAGAATTGAACTTGAGATCGATCGATTTTCTCTTCTGCCGAGCCAGGCTGGTATATGCTCGCGTATCCTCTTTTTCAGACGTCGCGTTGTTCGGCCAATATAGCCCACCCCACAGGAGCAGGTGAATGAAAAAACGCATATCGATGCGGCCTGCAACGGTAGTCGGTCTTAACCTCCCATCCGTAAAAGGGGGAGTTGGCGAAGAATACGCGTAGGTTTGTCGCTGAG